CAAATCAGCTGGCCAGCCTAATTTTGTGGTATCCTGGAAAGAAAACAGGTTTGTGAACTTTCCCTTTGCTCAAACCAATCATTCAAATTCCTAGAGATTATAGGAGATCATTGCCCCAGCAAAGAATGAATTTGTCTCTAGAGGATTTGGCGGAAGCCCCATATTTCTCTTCTCAACTGGGGTACAGAGGTACATGTACAAATCAGTTCCCAGGATCTGTCCTGGCATTTTTCAGTTTCTCAAAGTATTCCATCAAAATAAAACCTATTGGTGTCTAAGGATCCCCATCCATATTGGTTCCTCTTCAAATATAGTACAGGTGTTGGTCAAAAATGTGTTGCAAGAGACAACTCAAACTAGCTTAAGTAAAAACTGAAGTTTAGTTGCTTTAATAGTGAGATTTTTCATGGTAAAGCTGGACCTGTGGTTAAAATGATATAGTGAAAAAATAAAAATAAAAATAAAAAGTATTACTATTAAAATCATTTGCAATGTAAATAGAAGTCAAGACTTTGCCAAACCCCCAAATTCTTAAAGAACACATTCTCCTCTTCTTTTGTATCTCTCAAAATATTCAGAACTGTGTATACTGTAGACACTTAATAAAAGCTTCCAGAATTCAAAGCTGAATAAGTAAACTCAGTATTTAGAGCAAAAGCAATAAGAATGCAAATACACAATTTAGAATAATTTTTGCTCTCAAATTTGTTTCATGTAATGTATATAATGTGTGTCTGTCTTTTCTAGAGCCTGTGGTACATGTGAGAGTACTCTATACTCACACGTGTGCATGCATGCGCACACGCATACATACATATACATAGTCTATAACCAAATTGGGAAGGTTCCTATATGCAATTACTATAACATCTCATCTCTCTGGCATGGTTAAGAAAACCAGGTTCAAAGTACTCAAGAAAAGTACTTTAAAAGCCAATGCTTATTCTGATTTAAATCTCTTGGATAAAATTATTTTAAGTACATTTTCCTGAGAGTTCCACAACCTAATGAATGTTGAAAGTTATGAAATCTTTGAAAAATCATTCAAAGTCACAGTGGTGACCAGTGGCTTTGCTAGGTGGGCTCACGGCTTGACACTGGACATCCTGCCAATGTGTTTTCTTACCGAATCCCTGGTAGCTCTTATATTTCTTGTCATTTGCTTCTTTTCACAAAAGGAGTGCAGAAAAGTCAACTCTTTAGCTTTCTGGGCAATAGGCCTCCTTCGCTTTCTACAAAATTAGTCATTGAATCAAAAGCTCATGCTACCTTCACTAGTCTTTTTTCGATAATGGCATATATATATCCTCACTCTAGATAAATCATCCACTGACATTTCAGCAGAATTTAAGACATTTTATTCTGCAGGAATCAGCAGTCCCTTCAATATCCCACTCACTCTCCACCTCTTCCTCTCCCCTTCCCCTTCTTGTTCCTCCCTCATGTGCACTAACTTAATGGAGAAGCGTTCCCATTGGCAGATTTGGGGTTCATATTTCTAAAAACCATTAAAGGTGGTACTGTGTTTTTCCAGCGCAACATAAATGAGACAAAAATTCTAGTTACCATCTCAGTTCTAAATAAGTATAAGGCTTGACTCTTGAAACAATTGCATTTCTGAGAGTTAAATAATTGGGTTTTACTGTATAATATATTCCTAATTCCCTCACTCTACTTGGAAAAAAATCAAAATATTTTTGGATTTTATTATGATTTTTGAAACCAACCTTTGAAAGTAATAGGGCATTTCTATTCTTAATCCCCATTTCACAAATTCATTTATTCATTCATTTATTAATGGGACAGTCATATTTAAACAGGTACATAGAAGCCAGTGAATTTAAAATAAAACATAAATTAGGGATCTAGGATTTTACATCTAGATTGGGTACTCTATTCCATGCTTCCACAGCTCTCCCGATTCAAACCTGAGAGCTACTCTTTTGATTTCGACCATTCAATTTCCCAGTGCCCTTCCCATAGCAGGCACTGGGCCAGTTACCAGAACCCAAAGGAGATGAGGCATTGTGTCTGCTCAAGGTTTCAGAGTTTCTTACACACAGCCTCACCAGCACAAATGTAATATGTCTTGTTTCTAAGCTAAATTGATTTGTAGAAGTGTTTGGGGACTACATAGAGCTTTCTCAAATCATTGGAAGCCCCAGGGAAAGGGGCAATTATCCACCAACAGCCTGGTATATACAAGCCAACCTTCAAGGGCTCATTCTTTTTCTTCTCCGTTCTGCCCTAAGGACCAGCTTTCCCCTTCCCTATCAATACTAGTAACAATTCTGATGTTTCCCAGGTCCCAGAGTATCACTCAAAAAAATGTGGAACCAGAGCATGTAGAATCAGTTTTTAAACCATATTTTTCAACTGGAAGCAGAAGGTAATTATCAGATCTTCCCCCAAAGCTCCTAGTGTTTACACTCTTCTCCCTGCCCCCCATAACTATGCTAATCCTTTCTTATACATGCTTTTCCCAGCTGTGTAAAAGACCACACCCTAGAAACAGTCAATAAATGACAGGGTATGGTGTCTACCTTCAGGGACTTCTGTACAATGTCAGTGTCAAATTCTACCTTCTAGACACTAGTCTGAATGTTCTTTTCTACTTCCCTCCATCATTCACTTCCATAATTATTCCTTCAAAAACAAAACAAAAAATTCTTCACTTCATTTTCTTGAGGTCTTTTGAAACCAGTAATTTCTCCCTTAACGTTCGTTCTTTTCCTACCTGCTTAACTTGCAAATTCTAATACCCATACATCAGGTATGATTTTGGATTATTTTTACCTATTATTTTAAATATCTTCATCTGTCTTGTGGACAAATAGCACAAATACGATTCAGCGTCTGCCCCCATCCCTCTCTCCTCCTGCACGGTGTCCCTTGGTAGACACCACTAGCCTCACTGTTTCCTAAGCAGATGCCTCCCTGTCATCCTTGGTTTCTCTACCTTCCATCCAATCAAGTGTCAAGATCTCCCACTTAAAATATTTTAAACCTATATTCTCATCTCCATGTCTGTTACCCGTCCTTATTTAATTCAGGTCCTCATAACTGTCATTTCTTTATAAAGCTGCCCAAATGGTCTCCCAACCTCTACTCTTGAAACCCATTCCCAGGCAGAACAATCCACCCTCCACACTGCCCTCAGACTGGTCTTTCTAAAAGTTATAAACCTCATCACTTCCTTCCCCTGCCTAAAATCCCACAGGGTTCCTACCCCTTTTGAGGTAAGATTCACATAAGAGCATCAACAGCAAGGCCCTGGCCTGATCACAATTTCGTGCCTCACTTCTGACCACCACCATGCATGTTCATAACAATTATAGCAATTGCTAATATGTAAGGGCTGCTTCCTCCATTGCAGTCATGGTGCTAAGTGATTTGTGTGCATATTTTCTCACCTAAGCCTCACAAGGACCCTGTGAGCAAGATGTTGTTACTATCCCTGTTTTACAGGTTTGCTGAAGGGCCGTGAGCTGCAGACACAGGCAGTCTGACTGTGCTCTGAACCTGTGTCTCCCTCCACCTGAGATGCCACGCTCTTCCTCTGTAGTTTACTCATGGGCCTATAAGCCCCTTGCTCCTCTATTTTAATGACAATCCTGCCTCTTTTGTCCCCACTTGGGTGAGCAGTCCCAAAGCCCAGGCAGAGTGGTCACTTCTTTTGCTTTAATCAGAGAGTGTTTTATACACACATCTACTGAGCCCTTATCATAAACTGCTGATGCACATCAACTCCATCTTCACTACAACTCTGGAAAAAACTAATAGACTAAAAAACCCAAGCTACCAGGTACTGAGGGCTAAGCCTTGGAGGAAGGTCTGATCTCTATAAATCTTCAGACAGGAGTGGAGAGATTATCAAGGGTATTGGAGGGGCCTCTCCCTTCCTTCTCCCTCTTCTCTCACCAGCTGTTATCAGAAAGGTAGGATCAGAATTGTTGAGCAGGATTTAGGGTCATAACAGAAGGAGGAGGTGAATGGAGCATGGAGCATGGGGGATACCTGCCTAGAACTGGAATGAAAAGAACTGCAAGGAAATGGCCCTACTCCTCGGATTAGGAAAGAAGGTCAATTTGCAGATGGTATTTACATGCCTGCCCCTTTCATTAGTTCTTAAGGGGCAAGCATCTACCTTTTGAAACCATTCCATCCCGTTCTTATCTGCATTTCATCACCTCACACAGTATTTGTTGAAAACAACCCATGAACAAAAGAAAGAACAAAGATAACAAAGAACAAACAAATAAAATATATATATATAGCTATTTTCACTAAATTTGTTTCTTGAGTAATTATAGCTAGTAATGCCCTGTTATATCCACTATGTTAGCATGTGCAGCTTAATGAGGAAAATCCATGTGGGTAAAATTATCATCAGTGGGAATTGTCTTTGCTCTCAAATCCTGAGACACAAGAGATTTTTCCATTTAGGGATTTAAGGCAAAATTGATTTCCCTAGAAGACTGCTTTGTGGAATCACTACCATTAGAGTGTGACCTTCTGTCAGCATGAGAGGAGAATGGCTGCAAGAATCAGAAGCATCCACCAGTCAAAGAACCACAGTCCCAACATTCACCCACCCACTTGAATGGACCCCAAAACTGCCATCCTGGCCCTACATTAAGAGATAATAATGATGATGTAATGAAATGAAATAACATCCTAATAAATAAAATAAGGAAACATTTTTCTTTGTATCACAGACTTAATACTTTGGGGCACGACAATTAGGTTTTAAAATATAATAAAAAGAAAATTCCCGGGAGGCTCATCCTAGTAATATTCCTTAAATGGTATCCTATAATCTAATTTCCATTTGGCCATTGGAATTTCCCAGCAAATCCTGGCTGAAGGGAAAAGAGGGAAAGTGTACAAAATATAAAAATATAATATAAAGAGAAAAGTGTAGTCACAATCAAACATCAACAGCAGTGAAGAGGCAAACATGTGAATAATTATGTCCATGAGTGATGCTGTGTCCATCTTCATACCTCTTGATGGATTTCCAGCACAGCAGAAGACTTCCTGACTGTGGTTACAGTGTGCAGCCTAAACACAGGAGAAGGAAAACGTAACTTAACATATATACACACACATACACATATTGTGTATGTATATCATAGCAGGCATGTCTACCAAGAAGATTATGAGCACAAGACTTGAATTAGAAGAGAAGGAAAATAATTCACTTTAAAACATTCAAAGTCAAGAAATCCCTTGAGTGGAGCTTTCCAAAAACAAGCCACTTATTCATGGCACATTTCCTATGCCCCAGTGAGTTTCCCATCCTCAGAACAAAATTCATTGCCTCCCTATTGACCTACCAGTCAGTTGGCTCTGTGACTTACCTACAAAGAGTGTTCTTTGGAAAGACAGCATTCAAACTAAGGTAGTCAGGAGAGGTTTATTAGAATGTCAATGCCAGAATTTAGGGCTTTGTTTTCTGTTCTGTATCTTTACTAAAATACTAGGAGTGTAAAATGCCTCGATCCTTCACTATGTAGCCCCAGTATCATTTGATCATTTATATTGCATCTAAGATTGGACTAGCACCAGAAGTCTGGTTCCCCTGTCACTCAGTGGTCTCTGTGTAGGTTGGTGGGAGAGGCCTCTGACTACATGAGCTGCACTCCTAATGTTTTTCTTTCCCAGGCTCTGGTTCACTGGCTTTCAACAACAGCTGGGTACAAGAACCATCTGGGAGAATGAACCAATGAAACAAACTAATGAAGCTTGGGCCCAATCCAGACCAACTGAAGCCAAATCTCTGCAAGTGGGGTCTAGGCAGCAGTTTTTCAAAGTTCCCTACTTGACTCTAATCCACAGCCAGAGTGGAGAAGCGCTGGTTATGAAATACGGGAGACTACATCTGGATACCCAGATCTGATGAATAATAGCATTTCAAGATGGGCTCTTGGCCATATTTTTCTCTGTAGTTCATCAGGTTTTACCAAAATCTCAGGGGACTCAATTTAGGGGGGGAAAATGAGTTAACTTTTAATGAACTGTAAAAATTACTCAAAATTTATTTCCACAATCTCATATTCAACACATTAGCTTTTTTATTTGAATTCAGAATATTTCCCAAGAGGGTCTCCCATTATAAGCAAATTCATTTCAGAGCTCAGAAGAGGAAAAAACAAGGATATCAATTAATCTAGTTTAATTTGATTGAATTGTTCTAGTAGTGCATTAACCACTCTGGACTAGCTTCAGACCACTTCACCTCATTCTATCAGCCTTAATATTACCCACTTTCTTAGCTCCTTAATAATAACAAAGATAAAAAACAGAAAAAGTGTTTTTTGCTTCCTTGGAAAGTTCTTCTCTGAAACAGAGCCTTCCAAAAATCAGCAACTCATCACACTTCTTTAGTATTCCAAACTTGAAAACCCAAGGACTCCTTCCTGCTTCAGCACTTACCGCCTGCCTGCTTTTTCCACTGAGAGCTTCGAGACTCTGGAGTAAGAAAAGAGCATTTGTCTTCCTCCAGCAAAGCAGTTGTTGTATTTCATAGAAATGGCTAATGGAAGCAGGTGAACTGAACTGATTCTTGCCTGGCTGGCTTCTCCAAAGGTCTGTGGCCCCAAGTCACTGCCTTCCTCATAAATTTCTCTCTTTTCATTATTGAGCATTGAATATTTATGTGCTGCTCACACTTAAAAGCAAATGTACAGAACACAGAATCAGTCCAAGGCAAAATTACAAGGTAGGTGAAATTTGCCTTCAGCCATTCCCATCAAATTCCCATCATCTCTTTCAGAGGAAGAAATGCCCATTATTTTCTCCCACAACTGCTCTATTAAAAATACTCTCTCTAACCTGCATTCATAATAAAGTATTAATAGTTGATAAGGGCAAAGTGTTATTACTGCCAAAGTAGATGCATTTTAGCATTTGAATTTATTCAATTCAACAGAAAAGGCATTAACCACCAACAATGTGAAAGAAAAAACCCACTAACACTTGTTACCTAGCCCTCTCCAAACACGCATTTGGTGTAATTCTTACAGTTTCAAAAGATGGATGTTGCAATCAGCTCAGCTCAATTCTAGGCTCATTTTCCCAAAGATATGGAAAAATCAACCAAACACTCGTCTTTTACCTCCAAATTGTGTATTTCTTCCCCTGTACCACAACAACGACAATACTACTTTTTCTTAGTGCCTTTTCATTTTATTTTTTTTCATTTGATCCTATACCTACATGGTGAGGAACCTAAAGGTCAAAAGATATGTCACTTGCTCAAGCATAGTAAAAGAACAAGATAAAGACCCACATCTTCTCCTAGCTAGTTCTACCTTTTTTTCTCTTCTGTTTCCTACTTAATCAAGAAAAATAGTACCAAAAAATAACTAGACATCCAGTGAGTAAGAAGTAATAGAAATCAGAGAACCTGAACCTTCTCAACACCCCTCACTTCAGACCATGCTCTCAGGTGCCTGATCCACATTCCACTGCTAAGACTGGCCCTGAATGGACACAAAGCCCACACATCGTCCTCAACACTTTACTCACCCTGAGCCTTTAGGAAAAATGGTGCTGGATCCCCAAACTCACTTGTTCATTTTATAGCAGAAATAGTGTAGACTGTTTGGAAACCCAATAGACCTGAATTTAAATCTCTGCTCTGCTACTTCCTGGTTGTGTAAGCACAGGCAGCTCACTTAACCTTAACCTCACCTGCACCTCCATTTCCTTATCTGACAAAGAGAAGATATAATAGGGGGTCTTGTGAAAATAACATAAAGAACATGTCAGAGAGTAAAAATGTCACCTCCCTTCTCTCCTTGCCTGCCCAAATCCTATACTTGTAACTAATGGTAGAAACATCCCAAACAGGAGAATCTTTTCTGTTGAGAGAAACTAATTTTGGACCAATGCCATGTGGAACCATACTCTTGGAGTAAAATGGATTTGGTCCCATATAAGGAAGAGTGAGAAATAGTGGCCGCTCAAATGGACATGGCTTCCTATCTTAGTTGCTCTACAATCAGAAATGGGATTACTTTTCTCATTATCTACCCATGACATCCAACCCAACATATCTGATGACTTGATTTCAGGAATTTTGACGAACAGAAAATCCTCTTTAGACTACTCCTAAGTGATGAGCTCTAACCCTAAGAAGACAGCATAGCAGAGTGGCTTGAACCCCACGGGATTTTGAAATAGTAGCATTCATTTCTGGCTTCTGAAATTTTACCTGAAGTCTTCCAATGATTTCTTCTTAGTTGCTTTCAAACCACCAGTTTGGCAACAGGCAAATTTGTAATCAATGACCTGGTAAATGATGGGGTTGTACATTGCTGCTGATTTTGCAAGTAGGGTTGGCACCACAGAGAGTTGTATGGGGATGGAGTCTGGCCTTCCAAAAGCTGACCACACAGAGACCACTGCATAAGGAATCCAGGCAATCAGGAAGCCAGCACAAATCAGCATTGCTACCTGATGAGGGAAAGCAATAGAACAGAGTCAAGACACCTGGTGGAAATTAAGGGGGGGAGGAGAAGCAGTAGCTCATTTACACCCAAGAAAGTCTATTATTTGTCCATTTACCTTGCCTGTAGGAGGCATTTCCTATGTGGACTTCAGAGATGTTCAGCCAGAAGAAGTTATTACAAAGACTTATCCCATTTACCACATTCTATCCATTCTTCACTCCAGAATTTGAATGTACCAAAAGACCCAAAGTTTAACCCTATAAAAGCTGTCAGATTTTACATTGGGTAGGAAATGATGCTAAGAAGACATCCATGCTCCTGAAATTTCCAGACTTCTCAACCCACATTGATGGAAAATATGTTCCATCATATCTGGAACTAGATGGAAAACATGTTCACCTTGAGGAAATTTTAAATCACTCTTATTTGCCTCTGCCCTTTTTGGAAATTTTGAATCTTTTTCTGCCCTTTTTGGAAATTTTAATATGAATCTTCTTCAGAGATTTCTGTTAAGTGTTACTTCTTTTGGCTCATTTTCTCAAGTGTGACACAGTGGCATAAAGCAAGACTTTTCCAGAAAGCACTTTTCTCTCTCACAAAATTATAATTACCTTAGGAGCCTCTTAACTTCCAGATCAAAGAATAATTAGAAAGAGGGTTTTAAACACCCTCACTGGTTTCTTACCATCTGCAACCCAGTCCCTCTACTAATGTAGCCCTAATTAATGCCCTGTAACTACATACCTGACCCTATAAATCATCTCACTTGAATTCAACAACCCCTTTTTACCAAGTGCTTGGTGCCAGACACAATGCCAAGTGCTGTTGGGGACACCAGTACACCTTAGTGCCTGGCTGTAGCCCTCTGGAATACAAACAACTACAGTACAAGGAAGAATAGGAATTAAGTACCAGCAGAGGAGGACCAAATTACATGGTACGGGGCAAATTCAGAACGGTTTCATGAGGGACATGCCATATAACTTGCATGTTGGCAAGTTGAAATAAAGGAATGGTAGTAAGATCAGCATGAGCAAAGGCACAGGTACGTGAGATTTGCATAGAAACTAGCAAGTACTTGCTTCAGCAGGACATACACTAAAATTGGAATCATACAGCGAAGATTAGCATGGCCCCTGTGCAAGGATGACATGCAAATTTGTAAAGCGCTCCATATTTTGGGGGAAAAAAAGAGAAACTAGTAAGCAATTTACTTTGGCATACAAGATGAGGCTAGAAAGAAAGATAATATCCATGTATTCAGGGTTTTGTGTAACTTATGACCGGGCTGCCCTTAATTCCATATGCTTTGAAGCCCTAGTAGGTTTCTGAGCAGGAGACTTAATGAGAACCGTGTTGAGGAAGATTTACCTGTAAAATGAAATGGCACAGGAAGAAATTGGAGGTAGAAAAACCATTGTTTATTCATTCAATCAACAAGCATTATTGAGCATCTCCTATATGTTTTGTGTCAAGGATAAAGCAATGAACAAAGCAGACACAATCCCTGGCCACATAGAATTTCCACTTTTAACAGGTTTGTTTAGGCAACAGTCTAAACAAGAAATGAAAGTGCTGTTCCTTTGAGTACTGACACTGGCAACTGAAGCCCAAGCTTTGGCGTTTATTTTTTTATTTTTTTTAAAGATTTTATTTATTTATTTGACAGAGAGAGACAGTGAGAGCAGGAACACAAGCAGGGGGAGTGGGAGAGGGAGAAGCAGGCTTCCCGCTGAGCAAGGAGCCCGATGTGGGACTCCATCCCAGGACCCTGGGATCATGACCTGAGCCAAAGGCAGACGCTTAACGACGGAGCCACCCAGGCGCCCGGTGTTTATTTTAAACATGAGCTATTTCAGGTCCTAGTTAAGAGAGAGTGTACTAACTTCGAAGTATCTTTATACTATTACCTACTGTTTTTCTGTGAAATAAATAATGAAACGATATTCAAATTAGCACTCTGGGTAGTGGACATCTGCTTTTGCAAATCTACTATACGTCTTTCATTTCCTCATAAACTTTAGCATCGCCAGCATCCCTTCTACCCCTAGGCTGTTGTATGGAGCTGGCATCACATGACCCAAGCCTGACCAGAGGAGGCATGCCCCTAGCTACAAGAGCAAGAACAGGGATGGGCACATGACTAGAAAGAGCATCATCTGACCCATCTTTATGATTTTATAAGGAATTTGTAGGAAAAAGGGAGCTTCCTTTGATCTCTGAGTTCCCCAAAACCCAGGAAAGATGAAAAGATGGAGCTATCTGAGGCAGGCACCACATCCTCTTTCCCCATCCTCTTATTTAAGAAGGAAAAAAAGCAGTGTTCCCAACGTGAGAGTCATGACATGCTAGTATAGAGAATCAAGGATGAGGAATGTGACACAAAATGTTTTATTAATAACAGAGCAACAATATTTATGCATGCTTTTTTTTAGAAGTCCAAGTGGCTAAATTCTTTTATAACAAAGTCATTTCTATGCATGTGCATTTCAATATGCTTCCATGAGAACAGAGCTATTGTATGCAGGGAACGATCCATAGCCCTATTTGACCTGCGGAACAGCCTGTCAGTAGGGTGTTTATCCTGAGAACCCCACATTTGTGGGCTGTGTCAGCTAGAAGCCTGGAAAATCCACCATGTGTCTCAGGTTATAAAATTCCACCTAAGAAACTCAAGGCTCATCTCTACATATTAACTGCAGCTGAGACACACCTCAGTTATATCCATTTCACTCCATTTTACAAATAGAGTCTAAATCTCAAAGAGTTGAATGAAGTGAGCCCACACCTCCTTCGAGTCCTGATGCCCTGTGTCAGGGTCCTGCAGCCTTACTTTAAGGTCCTGAGCCAAAATTCTTACCTGTGCTTAACAGTTATCAACCAGACCCAGATCACACATGCACTCCTCCCTCTCGCTTGCTTGCTTGCTTGCTTTTTTCCCACCTGTCTGCAGAGGGTTACCCAGGAGAAATTGCATTTCATTTGGTCTATGAGACTTTTGTTTGTAAATGGAATGGATGCCTCAAGGCTCAAAGTGAGGGTCTTTTTTCTAAATCCCCAAATAAACAATAACTGATAAATAAAACTTGCTTTAGCAGATGTCTGGGAACTTAACATAGCTCCATCCTTTCTCTTTGGTGACTCATCTGATGATTTCACAGTATCTCAAAAGCTGTTTTCTGTGTTGCTGCCAAAGTCATTGACAAAAAATAGATTAGCACTTAGTCCATAATATTTTCTACATTTTACGTATTTTCTCCTTTTATGAGAGTGTGCAATGGGGAGAGAAAGGACTTCAAACATTTGCATTATGTTATCCTTTTTAAAAGGACATCAGAGAATTAACCATGCTGTGGTTTTTAAACACATGGCGAATGAATCGTTGTGGTTTTTCTGATCAGGATAAAACTAAGTGCCTTAAATTGAATGACTAGAAATCAAGTTTAGAGCAGAAAGAGGGATAAAAGCCTAGATCTGAAAGCACTGCAGAATATTACTTTTTGTATTTGAAGTGAATACCAAGTCAACATGAGACCCATTTATTTTTTACGATCTTCTCCTGTTAAAATATACTCCACAAAACATTAAAACATTAAATATTAAAGGCATTTTAAGATAAACTCCATAAAAGTTACAAAACTTGCATGTTACACTCATTTTCCCAGTGTTTTCTACTCAAAGTGGAACATGTTTAACATCAGTCTGTTATTTCCTCATTTCTGAGTGTGTCCCAATTTTCATTTTCCAAAATTTCTATTCCAAATATCCTTAAACCAGTTCTAGCACAGACACCTGTACCTGTCAGCTTTTTTCTAAGTTGTTTATTTTTTAATTTATTCACTTGTGTCACTGCCTTTTGGTTTACTGGAAAAACAGTAAAACTTCAGTTCTTAAATTAGGCAAATTTTGTGGGAGGAAATTCACAGAATATGTGCTTGGCTTCTACAAAGGAATCACACATCTGCAACCCAGTTCACTTTAAATATATCTTGCTGCAGAGGACTAAAAGATATCTGTACGTTCCAGCTACAATTCAAGTTGGCATTAAGTGTCACATAGGCAATATTGTCCATAATTGATCAATTGATCAATTAAAGCAGTAATAGAACAATGAGATTGAAAGTAAATTCTCCAAATTATATAAGGCTCTGTCTTTGGGCCCAATTCATCTGAACCATTCCAGCAGATATGATTTCCAAGAAGCAAAGTCCTGCCCTCTCTCCGTGCAATAGTGCAAACATCATGGTTAGAGATACTCGGGTTTGGATTCCAACTGTGGTTCAACTCCAATGACCAGTGTGAGTGAGACAGAACACCTGATTCTCTAAGAGTTGGCATTTCAGTTCCTTGCACCAGGCTCCTTTGCTCAGATACGAGTAGGGCTTCAGCCAACGTTTGATGCTGTGTGCTACCTTGAATAATGAAATGGGTGAGAAGAGGACATGGAATTGATGTAGAAGTGAAGTTTACAAGGAGAGCCAGAAAGATGGAACAAATTCCCTACCAATAACAAGATTGACCACATCGCAGAACCAGCTAGACTACTGAAATCAAGGATATTGCAGTGGCTGGGGTGAGACCAGGTCACAAGAAGCAAGATCACTACATGTGTGCATTGAGTAAATGGCAGGGGAGTGTACCATTGACCAGAACATATGGATAGTAAGATTTGGTTTTCCTATCTTGAGTCTAGCTGGCAAGCACATGGATTTGCTCCCAACTAATCAAAAAAATAAAAGAGAGAGAGAGAGAGAGAGAGATGAAAAGATGGTAATGCAAGAGTAAAGGCCAGTTAGGAGGCCACCTCCCGCCATATGCAGGCAGTCTGCTGTTGAGTGACACTACCAATGGCAAAGAGGAAAAGGGTCAACTTAGCAACCGTGACCTACTTTCGTTGGCCCTCAGTTCCTGGTACGTATAAAAATAAGGGTGATATTTAGCTTTCACACCATCTTGGAAGAAATAAAGTCATTCGACAACTCTAAGCATATCTAATTTGAGTTT